ATTTTTAAAACATATTAGTACTATATATCCCAAGTTGCCCTACAAAGCCTGCAAACACTTTTTATGGTATATAATGATGTTTGGAGACCATTTAAAATCAACAATATTATTGACAGTAGATGTTCTATATCCTTTATAAATGAGCTATTTATCATGAAAGAAAAATCAAAAGTTAGCCATACATTTAGAAATTTCAATAACATGGTTCAAACTTAGTTCCAGACAAAAATACGAGTGTTGAAGATGGACAATGCAAAATGATACTTTGAAAAAGAATTGGGTATGTGTCTTGAAAAAGAGAGAATTGTTTACCAAAGTTCGTGTGTTGGTACTCCTGAACAAAATACAATAGTCGAAAATAGGAATAGAAATCTCTTAGAAGTTGCTTGGTCCCTCTTGTTCACAACTCAAGATCCAAAATCTTTTTGGGGAAAAGCTGTTCTAACTGCAACTTACTTTATCAATAGAATGTCTCGATTGGTGCTTGACTTTCAAGCATCCTACCAAGTTATGCTCAATTACTCTCCTCCCACTCAACTTCTATCTACTCTACCTATCAAAGTCTTTAGTTGTTTAGCTTTTGTTCACATACATAACCATCACAAAAGAAAATTATACCCCGTACAAATAAAATGTAATTTTTGTTGGGTGTTCATCAAACCAATTGTGATATAAGTATTACTTACCAATCACCCGGAAATTCTAAAACTCCATGGATGTCATCTTTCATGAAAACCAATTATACTATAAGATTGGTATTCAGAGGGAGAAGAATATATAAGAAACCCAAGGGAGCCTACCACTAAATATCTTCATCCTCATCAAACTAAACCTGTTCAGTTTCCAAAGCACATAGATCGAGATGAGAGACATGGACTTGAACCTACTTATTAGAATAAAAAACTTGAACTTCGGGTCTATACCAGAAGGAACAAGAAACAAGAAGAGAAAGAGTTACAACTACTTGATCAGAGTCATGAATCAAATCCGGATTCATATCTAGCATAATTGAATACTTCATGTGATTCAAGTTCAAATCTTTCCTTTGACAATCTGTATGATGAGAGACTTATTACTGTAATAAAACAAAGAAGAGTATGCATCGACCATCTGGTTCACAATTTTGTTTTATGCAAGAGTCTGTCATAAATTTCTTAGGCATTTGTTAGCAATATTGATTAAATACAAATACTAATGATAGTACATAAAACACATTAAAAGTACACGGGTAGAAAGTTGTAATCATGGAGGAAATCTAAGTTGTAGAAAAGAATGAGACTTGAGAAATAGCAGAATTATTATATGAGAATCCCTAATCAATTGTAAATGTGTGTTCACGATCAAGTATATTATTGATGATAGTATCAACAGATTCAAAGCTCGATTAGTAGACAAAGACTTTACAAACCAATGACAAAACTTAACATGATCCGGAGACTAATGTCTCTGGCTATCAATTTGGATTGCCCACTATTCTAACTAGATGTGAAGAATACTTATTTAATAGAGAACTAGAGGAAGAAGTTTATCTAGAGATACCACATGACTTTAGAAGTCAAATCACTAACAACAAGGTTTGTAGACTCAAAGAGTTCTTATATGTACTCAAACTATCTCCAAGAGTGTGGTTCGACAAATTATTAAGACATTCAAGAGGTTTGAATATAATCAATGCTAATTAGATTATACTATGTTTGTCAAGTATGATCCTTTAGAAAAAGGGCAATCTTCNNNNATGCAAGTCCATAGACATGTCCATGGATTGCAACATTAAATTGAGAAAAAAATTGACGGTGTTCTAGTTAACAAAGAAAGATACCAATATTTAGTGAGTATATTAATTTATCTATCACATACCAAATCAAGTATTGGTTCTGCCGTCAGTGTGGTAAATCAGTTCATGAATAACCAATTGAAGAACTTATAGAGACAGTGTTTTAGATTCTCAAGTATAAAAAGACAACTGGACAAAAACAATTTTTAAGAAAAACAAAAGCCAAGAAATTAAAATACATATTGATGTAGACTGTACATATGTTTCGAGAAACTTAGTTACTTGGAAAACAAAAAGTAGTTAGTGGTATCAAGAAGTAGTGCTGATGTTAAGTTTAAAGTTTTAATATATGGTATATGTCAAAGAAGGTAGTTACAAAGGTTATTGGGTGAGTTGAGAATTTCCTCTTTAGAGTCTGTACAATGTTATATGACGATCAATTCACAATAAGAATAGTAAACAACTCAGTTCATCATGATTGAACTAAGTATGTAAAGATTAATAGACACTTTGTTAAAGAGAAGATAGAGTTAGGAGCACTATCCATGGGGCATATTCAATCTTGCCATCAGACAACGGATATTTTTACCAAGGCATTACCTATAAAAACTTTTGAAAAATTGAGTTCCAAGAGGTTAGTTCAATATCTTCAAACCGGCTTGAGGGGGAGTATAGAAATCCAACTTCTTGTAGAAGTTCAATTCATGCACATATTCTTATCTTTAGGAAAATTTTTCTATAAAGCATAATTATAATTGACTTTTATAACTGAAAGATCTTTTTTTTATGGGATTGATTTATATTTAGTTTTCTATTAATTTTTTTAAAATATTTTTCTATACATATCCAGTTGTGTTGTAAATCAAATATCATGAATAAAAATTTAATAAATAAAAAATTTAATTACAACTTTCACCTATTGTCCCATGAAAATCTGATTATTTGTCTCTTTTAAAGATGACAACTGGCATGAATATCAATTATATAATTTTCATTTACTTCTTTGTATTTGTCAAGATGAAGACTGACATGAATATAATTATCTTCTTGACTTTTGATCTTTTGGTATTAACATTAAAAGAAGAAAGTTCAGCTTCTGTTCTGATTTCCAATGTAGCTTGTATTGGTCTCAACCTGGATATAATTCCATATAGTGAAATATCCTAATAATGTTGGATGTCATGAAAATACTGATTCTTAGTCTGGATCCTTCAGAAAATGAATGTTTAAGAGAGATAGAAGCACTCGAAAGTAGACGATCACTTGTATTGAACAGTTTTATCTGAGTCTAGGTAACACATGTTTGGTGTTATGGAACTCTTAAAACTTTTAATTTTGATACACGTGGCTTCGTTCCTGTTATTGAGTGATACCTTGAAGCTTTCTGAAGTTCTTGGTAATTCATTACTCCTTGGGTTGTTGTGCACCTAACTTGGGTTGTTGTGCACCTATCTTGCTCTTAAAGAAAGAAAAAAAGAAAATCTCATAAGAATATGCACCTCTCAACTTGTTTGGTTTTACTCAATTCTGTCTATTCTTTTGCATTTCTGTGCAATGCTGGGTAGAATATTTGCATCAAAGCTGATGTTGATGGTGATCCTCAATTTGAAAATACTGTTTCTACCATAAGGCCATGTCGCGAGGCAGATGGAGTCATGCCATCGCATAAGAGGTACCTTATGTTCAATTTTTAATATGCTTGAATGCTACATTTGTTATTTGGTGCTCTATGACTGGTCCACTTTACACAAGTACATAGACAAACACACACAGAGGGCGAAATAAGGTGGCAGTGCTGTTTGGGTTCTATATGTGAAAGTTTTTTGGTATCTTATTTACATTTTTTTTTTGTTTTCTCAATAGTACCAGGGATTATGCTATTGACTTTGAACCATGCTCCAAGCTTGAGGACCTAAACTTGAATGTTAGAAAGAATGTGAAGGACACAGAAGAGATAAACCTAATAGACATTTCGAAAAGGTAATTTCACAGCAAAAGCTACTTGCATGCTTAAGTTTCTGTATCTATTTTATTGTGAAAGATGGAATTTGTAAATATTTAATTTAGCTGTAGTTGGGGAATATTTTCATAATATTCCTTGGTAATAGCAGAGTTTACTTCGAAGTAATGCCTTGATCTGTTGTGTCTCTCAAAAATTCTGTTCTGTTCCTTTTCCCCGTTGGCCATTTGAAAAAATTATCTTTCCCATTCTTTATCAATGATCATTTTTTTTTCTTTTTCTGTTGGGATGTGGAACAATGGTTTGCTGCTGAACTAGAAATTTTCTTTCACCAACAACCAGGCAACAGCTCTTGCTGAAACAAAAATGTCCTTACCTTCTCTCCCTCTCTCTCTCAAAAGAAAAAAGTTCTATAGCTTAAAACTTTGCTTACTATGTCATGATTGCAACTTAGGTAGATAGCTGGGAATCCTTATTTTGCTGAGGAGCTTTCTCAATATATGATTCTTATATTTTTTTAGAAGCAGTTGTTGTGCAGCCGAACTTGGCATGAGCACAAGCAGCTACCCTTGCTAACACCGGCTTTTTCTTCTATCCTTGATGTGCCTCTAGAAGATGAGTTGGTTCAACCTTATCAATTGATGAACAATTTGCTGCATTATGGTAGATCTGTTTTGTTCTTCCATTGATTTTGCATATTAGCTAGGTTTTGAAATGTGCATGTGTGCATTGCTTTGAATGTTGACCTCTGCTATCTATTTTTCGTCAAAAATAGCAATGTTAAAAGGCACAAGAAAGCTGTATGTTGGCACGCATTAATGCACTGAGAAGAACTTTCAGTGTCAGGTACAATAAGTAAAGTGCAATATGTGATAAGAACCAGACACTAAGTGAGATAAGCTAGAATTCTTGAAAAAATGTGCATAATTATCTAACAATAGCTTGTTGGAGCTTATATAATTACATGCAACAAGGATAGCAGGCAACTGCATGCTAGGTTGTTGGCTTTATAAATTAGCTGGAATATGTATTTCAGAAAAAAAAAAGAATTAGCAGGAATATGAAGTGTAACATGTGATTGTTTCCATTCTTCACATGTTGACTTCCATTATGATTTTTGCAGCTCAAAAACATATGAAAAGGAAATATCAAAATGAAACTCTAGTGGTGGTTTGTCATAAAAGTATCCTTAATAGCACTCATAACCATATGAATTCAGCAACTTGCTTACTGTATGCTTTTACAATGAATCTGTGAATGCGCATGCGCGTTTGTGCACTGCTGCAAATGTATTTGTGCATGAATATATATGCATATAGGTATTGTATGGGGCATAAATTGATTTCTAAAAGATATAATGCAGGCAAGATATCTTACAGGTACCAATTCATGAAGTGATATTTTCCACTGTTGACAAACCAAAGCTTCTTAGTCAGGTATGTATGAACAATTATATCTGTATGATCATAATAGTTGCATCTTTTACTAAATCTTTAATGGCACTTTTTAGCATCTTATATAATTATATTTTGTTTTGTTTTTTAAATGCATTTGGTTAGTTCTCTGGTTAGCTTATGATAAACAATCCCTCAAAAACTAAGTCTTTTTAAGGTTATGCATTAAAAATGTATTATAATGAACTTCATTTTTATTTCCAAATGATTTTAAGAAGAAATTCACTTGTAAATGAATTCTTCTCTTTGGAATAAATCATGAACTTCTAAAATATTTTATGGAATACCTTGCAGTTTTGGTTCTGCATTTCTAATATACAGGTACTTTGAATTTATTTGTATCTCAACGTATATGTTTATGATTCATAGTCAGTTCTCTTTAGATTACATAAACTTTTGATGGAATTTGAAATATATTGTTTTTGTTTCATTTGAAGTTTTACTTTGAATTGAATTTCATGTTTGGAATAACTCCAAATATAGAAATTAAGATTTTCAAATGAACTTTTTGCAATTTTTATGGAATTCACTTATTCGAGAGACACCTAAATACATTTTTCTCTGTTTGACATTAGTTAGTTTTCTTAAATTCATTTGTCTCTCTCTCTCTCTCTCTCTCTCTCTCTCTCTCTCTCTCTCTGGGAAGGGAGTGGAGAGGGGGATGGGTGATTGCCTGATGTTCATCTCTCACAGTAAATACCAATTTCAAAATGAATAACTTTCAAACTGAGCTTGTCATCTAACTCAATGTCATTTTCTTCTGGCTAGTGAATAAGTTGCCTCATGTTCATCTCTCACACTAGAAGTACAATAAGTTGTTAAAAGCTAGTGAAATAATTTTTAATACCAAGTTCAAAATGAATGACTTCCAAACTGAGGGTGTCATCTAACTCAATGTCATTTTCTTCTAGCTTTCTGCTTTGCTCTCTGACATAGGACTTAACATCCGTGAGGCTCATGTGTTCTCGACAACGGACGGATACTCACTGGATGTGTTTGTGGTAGATGGATGGCCTATTGAGGTACTAGGTCTACAACATTTGCATTGTTTCTCTACGTGAATTTTGGGTTTTGTGTATTATGTGAATCATTGTGACATCATTATTTGTTAAGTATCATCTTCTTTGGATGGGAATAAGAAGTCCTTATGTTATACATCAATCCATATATCGTATCTGTTGTTTCTACTGTTTCTATCTCAAGTTAGTGTCATTATCTGGGCTGTTATGGATAGTACTTATATTAGTGATAAAAACATGTTGCTGAAAATGGACGATTAATCACTATTTTTACTGGTTATGGTATCTCTTTCCTGGATAAAGGCATTCAATTATTACCTTGTCATACTTTTGTTATAATGTCTAAAATTTGTTAGGCCAGTAACTTTAAACAACCTCTACATTATCCAGGACCATAAACCCAATAATATATTAAGGAGCATTATGATTATATTTGCTTTATGACAGGGATCTTGCTGAGTCCGAATGTTGCTGACTTTGCAATGTTATGGCCAGGATACAGATGATTTATATAAGGCTATGGAAAAAGCAATTGGTAGAAGTGAGGTAAACATTCCTTTGTTTTCCTTTGGTTGAGTTTTTTGGTTCGCTATGGGTGCCTTTAAAGTAAAAAATTAGTGTAAAATATGGATATTAAAAGATAGGAGTATATATACATTTTTGAGTCTTAAAAGATCGTAATGTTTGATGTTCTATAGGTTGTTCGGTACATTATGTTCCCACAGTAGTTTGTAGTTTTGAATCACCTTCTTTCCAAAAAAACCTACAATGGTAATCTAGTTGTAAGAGAGTATTTAAAATTTCCTTTCACCCCACCTTCTTGTCTTTTTAATGAGCATCTTTTGAGATGTTTGCCTTTTTCTCTAATTTTTTAGCTCGCTAATTTTCATTTTCCTGCTTTTATCCTGAAGTCGCTTTGTCATCAATGCTTTATATAAAGTAACCTTGTCTGCGTTGCTATTCTTTGCTTAGGTTTAAGAATAATAAAAAGAAATATGATTTTACTCTTTAATGTCAAACCTGCTTTATGAAGCAATTAATGAGCCTATTTAGTATTTTGTTTGACGACCTGTTTCCCATCTCTGGGCTACCATCTCTTCTACATGTTTGTTTTGGTGCTCTATCGTTTTAACTTATTTTCAGCTCAGTGGTGCTTGTTGGCTATTGTTGCTTAACCTTTTCTTTTTTCTACTTGTATGAACTCCATTGTGTTCAAGGAAATTATGACTAATGAGATTGTGTTGACTCACATCGATTCAAAATTCAGGGATCATGGTCTGGTTCTTCACATTCAGCTGGAAATAAGACTTCAGTGACAGATATAAAATCCAGAGACTGGGAAATAGACAGAAGACTTCTGAAAATTGGAGAAAGAATTGCATCTGGTTCTTGTGGAGATCTGTAAGTTGGTCTGTCTAGACTTGTCTCCTTGGTAGCTTTATTTATTTATTCTTTAAAAATTTAGGCTCACCTATTCTTTTATGTTTTTTCTGAAGGTATCGTGGGGTTTACCTTGGTCAAGATGTAGCTATTAAAATTCTTAGATCTGAGCATTTGAATGAAGCCATCAAGGATGAATTTGCTCAAGAGGTGGCGATTCTAAGGTAAGAAGCCATGGAGCTACTTGACTAACATTCAATTTGTACTGGTTTTCTTTTATTTTATATTTCTTAATCCTGCTAGGAGAATGTTTAATTTTACCTGTGAATAAAAAAAGGTTTCCTTATGGTTCATCAGATTTCTTGAAGTTTATCCAGTGAAACTTAACTTACTCTCCTAGTCTTAGGATTAACTATTTGATCTTTTCAGGTTTGTTTTGAAGCAAAAGAGGTGCAAACTTTGTTGTTTGTTTTTATAAATCATCTCTTGCCATGGCAATTTTACGTGGTTGTAAATATAATACTAATTTGTTTTTCTCGCTATGTTGCTCTTCTTATTTAGTGAAAGTTTCCTTCTAGCTGTGAGGCACAGTGGCAGAGATTATGCCATTTTGCGATTTGACATTTATCAATTTCTAAATCTTTCAAAGAAGGAAAGTCACCAAGAATATTCAGTAAAAATTTCCTAGTTTCCAAATCTATACTTTTTACGTGAATATAAACCTAATCTTGTTTAGTTTCATGAGTTACTTGATGCCTCTGGTGTACAGAAATAACAAATTACATAAACTGGGCAAATTGCTTGAACTCACTTCATATTTCTTCGTCATATTTTTAAATGTTGAGGACCCAATTATTGTGGTCGCCCCTTTGTTTAATTCCTGTTTAATCCTATCTGGAATTTCTTAGAAACTGTTTCTACCTTCTACCTGGCTAGGTGGGAATTACAAATCAATTTCTGAAGAATTTAAGATATAACTCTATCTTGTTAAAGTATACCTTAAATTCAAGGAATAATTTTGAAATGATTTAAGCATGAAAATTTAATTTTATATTATTAAAAAATATTGTAATAACTAACTAAAGGAACAGAATAGGATTGAATCAAAAGACCATAAGTAACTGAGTTTGCACTAGGAGATTTTGGCATGTGTGGAGAATAGTGGTGGCAAAATTAACCTTCCCTGCCTTTTCTACAATAATATAATGGTTCGAACTTTGATGTGCAATCGTAAATTTTTATTAGTCAATCATGTAACATTGATTATGCTGGTTCTAGTGGAATTTGGTTGTTTAACGGCAGAAAGTAAATATGTTGAAGGACCTTGGTGACTTTTTAATCTCTAGTCTCTTAGATGTAAGGTTAGGATCTTTCATGTTTGCAGTTTCCCCTTGCTCCTGTAACCGGTGGTTGTGGTTCTTGCATAAGAAACTTCTCTGAGGCTTCTAGCATTCTGTTCTTGTAATTTTAAATTCTCTCTTTTATAAAATGATTTATTGCAGAGGAACTGACTTGAATTTCATCTGCTAACGAGCTTCCTTCAAAACAGTTTAGGTTAGTCATTCCTGTTTAATTGTTTTGAAAGTGTATTCGTTTGGATGACGTCTTTGGTTGTGATGGTTGAGCTCACTACTTTTGGTATTCATTTATGTAGAACTATCTGAAGCGTGTTCTGCTCTCCTTTTGGCTTTCCTTATCATTTCTAGTTTGCAATGTTATGCTCAAGTACAAGCATACACAAGAGGAGGATGGTCCTTAATTTTATTTTTTTGCATTAAATACTAAACTAGTGTTCAGATGTGATTACTTTTTGGCTGGCAGTTGTAGCATGACAAATATAAAAGTGCAATTAATGACTTATTCGATGTTTATACTGCCTTCTTTTCTTAAATGCAGAGAAGTCCAACATAAAAATGTCGTTCGTTTTATTGGTGCTTGCACAAAGGCTCCTCATTTATGTATCGTCACAGGTACAGAACACTCTGCTGACAAATAAATGCTTTCTTTCTCTGAAATATCCTTCTTAATTTGCTCTTCTGTTTCTTTCTTTTATTTTGCAGTTGGATTTTGTATTTAACTAGTTTTTGTTAGCCCCTGCTACACTTGGTCTATAAATTTACCATATTAATTTTTAGTTATGCTATTAGTAAAAGTTTTATTTTGACAATTAGTATAATATTTGGTTTCAAAAAGTTCTATAGCCCGTGCTAGCTTGGATTATAAATTGACCATGTCAATCAATATTTTGTTATGCTCTTAGTAAACGTTTTAATTTGATAGTTAGTATAATTTTTAGTTTAAAAAAATTTTGTTTTAATAATACAGTTAAGGAAAATACAACATATGTGCTCCATGCTCATCCTCTAGTTATTCAGACCATAGAAATTTAACTAAGCAATTTAGTTTTGGTAGAATTTCTTCTGAGACAATTAGTATAATCCTTAACTGAACTGCTCAAAAAAGTATAATCCTTAATTTCACATTTTTTATTTCAGTTAAATTTTCAGGTAATAAAAGTGTGGCACATGTCTTTTTTACTTAACCATTTTTTATTGTGATAGAGAATTTTTAATTCAGTAGTTACTATAATCTGATTAGATAGTTTTAGTTATTATAGAATTTGAAGGTAGCCAGTTATAATATATAGTAAAATTAACTAAACAATTAGCAGAACTGTCATTAGGTTTTTTAATTCAACAATAATAAAATTGGGCATGCCAGTTTTGGTTTAAGTAGAAGTTGTAATAGATAATTGGTAGAATTTTTAATTGCATCAATTTTGAAATCGATAGATTTGTTTTAATCTAGAAAGTTGTTAATATGAGTTTTAATTATAAAACTAATCAATCCTTAAATTTTTAATTGCAAGAGATAGAGGACATTGACAAGAAAGAGGGGGAAGGGGTTGTTTCTAAAGAGGAGAGAGCAAGAAGAAAGGGGTTGAGGTTTGATGTGGCTTACAAATTGAGGATGAATGAGATCTCATGTGCCAGAAATCAAGAGAGAAATGGATTCAAGAGGGTGATAGAACACTTGATACTTCCACTGCTTAGCCAGTCACAAAAGGAGATGCAATTTTGTTGAACAGTTAACTGTGAACAACCGAGTCATCAAGGGGAATAGCGACATGAGGAAAGAGGCTGGTGAGTTCTTTGCAAAGCTGTATAATGAAGACATTTCTAGAAGACTGAGAGTTGACAACCTGAATTTTGAGATGATCCATAATGATAATAGAATTAATATGGAAAGGGAGTTCACTGAAGATGAGGTTAAAGAGGTACTCATGAGTTGCAATGGAGACAAAGCTCTCGGTCCTAATGGTTTCAATATGAGATTTTGGAGGAATTTTACATGTGGTTAAAAAAGATACTATGGAAATGTTTAATGAATTCCATAACTTTGGGTCTTTTGTAAATCATTGAACTCTACTTTTTTGGTCCTTATTGCAAAAAAAGAAGGGGTAAAAAATATCAGAGAGTTCAGGTCCATTAATTTGGTGGACTGCATATACAAGCTTATGTTGAAGGTCCTTGCAAATAGATGTCTGGGTGTTGGGTATAGTGATTAGAGAGAATCAACATGTTTTGTGGAAGGAAGACAGATTATGGATGCTGTTTTGGTGGCTAATGCAGTGGTTGATGATTTGATTAACAGCAAGAGAGATGTGATTTTGTGCAAATTGGACATGGAAAAAGACTATGATCATGCTAGTTGGGATTTTGTGAATTACATTTTGAGTAGATTGGAGTTTGGTGAGCGGTGGAGAAAATAGATTTGGACATGTGTAACTACTACATCGTTTGCGGTTATGATCAATGGTGGCCCTTCCCACTTTTTCAAGGTTTCTAGAGGTTTTAAGACAAGGCAACCCATTATCCCCTCTACTATTTATTGTAGTTATGAAAGCACTGAACAAGTTGATTGAGAGGGCGAATGAGCTGGATTTATTGAGAGGGGTGTGGGTTGGGAGAAGGAACCAGCAGATTGAAGTTACTCATTTATTTTTTGCAGATGATACATAATTTTTTGTCAACCAGAGAAGAAAATGATCATGGGTTTAAGCTGTGTACTTATGTGTCTTCAAGCTGTATATGGGTTGGATATTAACTAAATAAATATGAGATGATCAGCATTGGGAGCTGGGATAATGCTGAGTATTTGGCGGACTTGTTGGGCTGTAAATTGGAAAATCTACCTATTAAATATTTGAGTCTTCCACTTGGCTCCAAATATAAAGATGTTGGGATGTGGGAACTGGTGATTGAATCCTTTGAAAAGCGACTTGCTAGTTAGAAGAGAAATTTCTTATCCAAAGGTGGTAGACTCACGCTTATTAAAAGTACTCTTGCTAATCTTCCTATTACTACTTGTCTACAATGACTATTCCGGTGAAGATTGCTAAGACTTTGGAAAGAATTCAATTCCGTTTCCTTTAGGGGGATGAGGAAGGAAATAGGAAATTCTACTTGGTTAAGTGGGAGGAGGTGAAAAAGCCAGTGAGTATGGGCGGTTTGGGGATCCGGTCTTTGATTGAGATGAATAAAGCATTATAAGGTAAATGGTTATGGAATTACTTGAAAGGGAAGAGCGTCTATGGAAAAGAGTGGTCGAAGCGAGGTGGGGTAGGTGGGTGGATTGCTATTATTGGTGCAATTCGGGCCGCTCGCATGGTTTGAGTGTGTGAAGAAAGATTGGCATTAGCTGTGATAATTTCTCCCAAAATATTAAGTGGTAGTTGGCGAGGGGAGATAAAATCTGTTTCTGGTTAGATGAGTGGATTGGTAGCTGGAAACTTAAAGACCAATTCCGGCATATATTTGCTATTGCTAAGAATAAATTTAGCATGGTGGAGAATATCTATGATGGTGAAGGACAAGGGGTGGTATGGAATGTAGAGGTGTTGAGAAACTTGAATGATTGGGAGGTTGGGGAATATGAAGAGCTTCTGCAGCTGTTGGTCAATGTGAAAATGAAAACTAATAGCGACAGTTTAGTGTGGAAACAGAAGCATGATGGAAATTTTACTGTTAAGTCTTATTATGAAGTATTGATGGGTTATAACAGTAATGAGGCTTCACAGTTATTGTGAAGTATTGATGGGGTATAACAGTAATGAGGCTTCACAGTTCCCTTACAAACAGATATGGAAAGTTCATGCGCCTCCTAGAATAGTTTTCTTTGCTTGGGAAGCTGGGAGGGAGAGTATATTGACCATTGATAAGTTGAAGAGAGGCAGAGTGATGGTGAATGCCTGTTATTTATCTATGTAAAAGGGATGCTGAAACTTGCAATCATTTGCTTTTATGGTATCTATTGCTCATAATTTATGGTCGATGGTTTATGGTCTGCTGGATATTTGTTGGGTCAGGGCGGGTTCCATGAAGGAGTTATGGGCTTGGGGTGGGATCTGCAAAAAGAAGAAATTTTTGAAACTTATCCCCTTGACTATCATGTGGGTGCTTTGGAAAGAGAGGAATAGGAGGGCGTTGGATAGGGTTGAGAATTACATTGTAAAGATTAAAGATAGTTGGTATCATTATTTTGACTCTATTTTTTTGAGGCATGTCAAGTATAGATAGAAGATTTTGGACATGTCATATGTAGCATTACTGAGCTGTAAATTCTTTGTTTATGGGTGGCACCCCACTGGTGTTTCACTTTAATGTTGTTTCACATTTTTTATTTAAAAAAATAACTTTAGTTTTAGTAGAATTTTTAATTATGCACTTGGTAAAATTTGAATTAGACAGTTGCATCTTTTTATTTCAGTAGGTTTTCAATCATATAATTATTAGTATAATTGTCAAGTAAATAGTTTTAATTTCGATAGAAGTTTCGGTTAATGTAATTGTGATGTTTAGTAGAATTTCTAATTAGATAGTAGGACTTCTAATTAGATATTTTTTATTTTGGTAAAATTTTCAGTCAATCAATTATATTTTTCCCTTTCTAAATTATGCTTTTCTAAACAGTAAAATTTTTTAGTTAGAAAATTGAAATTTTAATATAAAAAGTTAGAATTTTTAATTAGATAGCTTTATTTTTAATTAAAGTTATATGGTTAATAGAATTTTAATTATTGATTTTCAATTTAGGTATAATTAATAAAAATGTGATGCATGCCCTTTGAATTAAAATTCACTAGTTAGTATAATTTTTAAATAAACAATTAGGAGTTTAACATCAGTCTTAATTCAAGTAGAATTTTTGACTAAATAACAGATTTAATTAAACAGTTAGTAGACTTTTTTACACAATAGTTTTTAATTAGACAATTTCAGTTTCACTAAAATTTTTAGCTTGTACAATTGCAACATTGCCATTGTTAATTTTATCATTTTAATTAAAATAGAATAGTTAGTTAGAAATTAGTATAATTTTTTATTAGCTAATTCTAATTTTAGTAAAATTATTGATTAGACAGTTAATCAGATTATAAAAGTAATATATATATTATTAATTTGATTTTACTTGATTTTAATGGATTTCTAAAATAAGAAAGATTTAAAAAAAAGAGATTGTATTTCTTTTTTTAGATTGATTAATTTTGAACTTAAATTAATTTGTTCATATATATTTAAAGTATTGAAATTTATTTACAAACTCTAGCGATCATGTCCTTAGTGGCAACTACTTTAATAATATATAGATTGAAATGTTTATAGCATGCATGGTGGTATTTGCAACTTCTTCATTTTTTATAAATATTCAGATGACTATTTTGGCAACATTTTTATGTTTAAGTTTGTTTGAATAAGTCAAACCGAGTGTTTTGGATATTATTAAACAGTTGCTGGTCTTGATGAGGGCAGTTTCAATCCCTAAGAAGGCAGTTAGGTTGTAATTGACAGACCTATGTAATGGGCTTCTGTTTTATGATATGTATGCAGAAGGTTGGTCTTAAAGTTTATTAAGTACAACTTAAGGAGATCTTCGGGTTCTCTCTTAATAAGCCCTTGTATTCATCTTCACACAGGTTTGAAAGAAAGGGAAAAAAATCCGAGAAAATCTGGTTCATATCTAATAGTTCACCTTCCAAGGACCCATAACGAGATCCAGGAGACTGGAATGTCCTGGCACTTTTGTTCTTTTTCAATATAGATGGCACCCCCTTGGTGCTATTTAATGTTATTTCCCTTTTTCTTCTGAAAGAAAATCTCCTAGCAGATTGCATTTTGTGGTTGAAACTACTTATTTAATGTCCTTGAGGGCTGGTTAAACTGTGTTAATTAAACATGGGCTTATTTAAGTTTGACTGTCAAAGTTGCTTGGAATTGTGTCTAAGATAGAAGCAACAATATGTTCAGGTATATCATATTTCATGCTTTCTTATTTAACCAAATGCATCTTATGACTTCTGTTCTTGATTGCAGAGTATATGCCAGGAGGAAGTCTTTACGATTATTTACATAAGCATCATAATGTCTTGAAATTCTCTCAGTTGCTGAAATTTGCAATTGATGTCTGCAAAGGGATGGAATATTTGCATCAAAACAACATAATTCATAGGGACCTGAAGACAGCAAATCTACTAATGGATACCCACAATGTATGTACTTACTGTATTGTTTGTGTTAAATGTCAATGCAGCTGCTTCTTAAGTCATAAAACATGGAAACCAATGAATTAAAATTGATCTTTTAATAGTTCCATTTAATAGTTGTCTGATTTGTGGGTCCCAAACGAGCTTAGGTGAATAAATATTTGCATTATAGCTTGTTTTCAAATGTTACATAGTTCACCTTTCGCTTGGAACTTGATTCAAGTTTTTTCCCCTTTTAAGGTTCATATTCAACACCTATTAAATCTAAAAGTTGTGATTTTGGTAAGGAAATGAGCCTCATTAAATTTGCGGAGGAATACACACACACACACACTCATGGACATTTTAAAAAATTGAAGAGAGGAATACAGTTTTGACCCCTATGTTTGTCCTTCCTCAAATTCAATCTCTTTTTTTGGTGACAGTTAAATAGTTTTTCATATTTTATATAAAACACTGCTTTTTAAAGCTCTGATCTGATAACTTTTTGTTTTTCTCTCTAATTTTCATTTGTTTAGTTAAATTTCACATGGCCTTTTTAAAAGGCTAAAAATGTGTTAATGTCCAAAAGAAAAAACTAGTGGAATTATGTAAAGGACTATTTCGAAACTACAGGGACGGGTCATTAGGAATAACCATAGCGTTTAAATTTAAATATGGCAGAACCATGTAAGGCGAAATTGTAATTTTTCAAAAATTAAAGCAGGGAAGTACCTAGATATATAAATATATACGGTGTTGACTAGTGATTCAGTTAGTATGGCAAGGGCTTTGGAGTGTAGATCTGTGAATTTGCTTATCAATTATTTGGGCTTCCCTTTCGGTACTAGCTTCAAAGAGGTAAGAATGTGGGATCCGGTGGTGGATAAATTTGAGAAGAGGTTGGCAGGTTGGAAGAGGGGCCTTTGTTAAAAGGAGGAAGACTCATGCTCATCAGGAATACCTTGGATAATATTTCCATTTACTACATGTCTTTGTTAACCATTCTTAAAAGTGTGGTTAAGAAGTTGGAAGCCATATAGAGCAAGTTTCTATGGGGTAACATAGGTAAAAGACTAAGGTATCATTTTGTGGTGTGGATTGAGCTCAAGAAGCCTCTATATCTTGGTGGGTTGGGTTTGCAATCTTTGTAGGAGATGAACGAGGCTCTATAGGGTAAATGATTATGGAGATTTTTCGTAGAGGAAGAAGCGATGTGGAGAAAAACAATTTTAGCAAAATTTGGCATGGAATGATAAAGGTTGGCTTAACAGAGAGAGTTCAAGGCCACATGGGAAAAACTTGTGGAAAAAGATCACCCGAGAGAAAGGAAATTTTTAGGAGTATATATGGTGGAAGGTTGGTAGGGGAATAAAGTTA